ATCCCAAACAGAGTGCATCATGAAGACTTTTATCGTGTTCGTCGTCTGCGTTGTCTTGGCTCAGGTGAGAATTCAATCCTTTTTAAATTATGTACCTTTTATACTGTCGTTACTTTTGAATGTTGGGTCAATGGTACAATCTAAAATCACTAAAGATTTTTCTAATACATTTGAAATTAGATTTGGATTTTTACCATCTAAAATTTAGAAGTTGTATTACAAAGCTAAAACTTGTAATAGTTATTTTTACTACGGTTTTCGTGAAGCTTAGTTAGTAGTTAGTTACTATATTATTTAGACTATAGCTCAATGAATATATATATTTGTAGAATTGTCTCAGAGTCGCCAATACATTTTATTACTTAACAGGCCCTCACAGATGAGCAGAAGGAGAACTTGAAGAAACACAGAGCTGACTGTCTCTCCGAGACGAAAGCTGATGAACAACTGGTGAACAAACTGAAGACAGGCGACTTTAAGGTGATGTTGAAAAATTTAATTAAGACTTCTCAGTCATTGACACACCCCTGCTACTTGCAAGGTAACCAAAGGAAGATAACTAGTTTATTTGTCCCTCCTGGCTGAGCCTTTGCTCACCCTCCTGTCCTGGTGAAACTGGAAAGGCCTCCGAGCCACCAGTAATCCTTCAACCGTAAAAAAAAGTTTATTAATTTCAGTCTCATGTTAGGATATTTAATTGTAAACACCAAGCTACATATGACTGTTATAAGAAACTAAATTCGGTTTCACACTAAGTTTTATTGGGTATTTAAAAAAATGGTTATGTGTAAAATGTGAATCAAAAGGCTTTGTCCCCTGAATTAGTAGCGATAATTTTTCCAACGCGATTTCTAATAGCAATTTTTGATTTATCCAACTAATCACAAATCAGTAAAATTTATAATACTGTGGTTTGATATCACCACCAATCTGCCTTTGTCTATAGTAAGCAATGCTCTGGAATTTGGAACCTAATCCAAATATTTTACAGTAGATTGATAGGATATTTTAGACTTCAGACCTTTGCGTACACGGGCCAATGCAAATTGTACGCCATTTCAGCACATTGAGAGTGCCCGTTTCCTAAATCCATTATAATTTATGACAGTAATTTTAAAATTACCTTGAAAGGGCTCTTCCTACTTATGCAGCACAACTGGCCTCATTTACCGGCACTTACCGACAATTAACTGTTCAAGGTATTCCCAATTGCGCACAATAACATACAACATCTTATATCGACCACATTTTTTCTGTTCTTATGAGACATATTGGTATATATATGTATACATATATTGGTCCATTTAGTGTGTAAAGGTAGATTTTTTTTATGTTCAAATCACAGTATCGCCCATCCAATATTAACACTATGAACTATTGATATAATAAATTTTATTGATACCGAACCTTATTCCCAATTTCTAATGAACTTCATAATGACATTTTAAATGTGTTTTTTAACAGACTGAAAACGAACCGTTGAAGAAGTACGCTCTATGTATGCTGATCAAATCGCAGCTGATGACCAAGGACGGGAAATTCAAGAAGGACGTCGCTCTGGCTAAAGTGCCTAATGCTGGTTTGTGAGATACATTTTATTACAAAAAAAAAAAAATGCTTTTCTTATGTCAATAGTTTTCAAATGTCATTTATTTCTGGGATGGCTGTGTGATATTTAACGTTTTGTAGGTATCCAGTAGACGATACTATTTTTTTTTGTTTACCATCCCATCCATATACTTTTGTTTTCGCCACATACCTCGCGACATGAGGTTACAGACTCATTATATCATATATATATATATATATATATATATATTTTATATATAATATTAACGAAATGCTACTCGTTTTTCAAAACCGGAATACGCGAATTCTTTATTTTAGAAACCTAAACATCTAATAGAAAAGACACCCAATGAACTTGTAGGGAGCATTGCGACCATACTAGTGTTCCCTCACGCCAGTACCTCTTTTTCTAATGAAAGACGTATTTAATACTAACATGTTCACGAATGATTTCCGTAATGAAGGATTTATATTTTTTTATAAAATTCAAACGGCTATAGTTGTAATTTGCGTAATTACTGGTGGTGGGGTGACTCGATAACATTATAGTCTAACTAGAAAAAATACACCAAAATTGAACTAATTCTCATCATATTTATTATTTATTATATTAGTTACCCAAAAATAAAGCAACCTTAAAAGTTCGCACTCCACAGGAATAATATCTTAGGATAAAATCATTGTAAATAGATTTCTGTTTCTGTCATGAAAGAAATTTCACTCTGACTTGGATTTACTTACTCGTAATTCACAATAATTCCCTCTTACAGAAGACAAATTGAAAGTAGAGAAGCTGATTGACGCTTGCCTGGCCAACAAAGGCAACAGCCCTCACCAAACAGCCTGGAATTACGTGAAATGCTACCACGAGAAAGACCCGAAGCACGCTCTTTTCTTGTAAACACATAATCCAACTCAACCGTTCCATACCTCATTAGTGTAAAATAGCTCGGACATGTTTATCTAGACGATATCATGATTATATCGGAGAATATTGCAATCTTGTATGGTGTTATTATTCTAACTTTAATCTATATCTGTTCGATAAATTTTGTTTAGTTGTTGTAACATATTCAATCGAGAACCAAAATTTAATTTTCTTCTGTGTTCATCATAGCTTTGTTTATCTCGTTTGATGTTTCTTGGTGATTTCTTTCATCTCATACAAAGATAAGCAGCTAGCAGCAGAATTTACAGGGTTTTGTTAGTACAATAAGTAACGTGTGAATAATATGCTTAAGTGAGAGCAACGTTTACTTTTTTGGCGAATTTAATATTTTTAGTACAACAATAAAGAGCAATAGCACTGGAGACTTTTGTTTTTATTCACAACTACCCGACCTAATGAATCGTGTGTGTGTGTTTTTGTCTCATTCTTGAGGGTTCAACTTCTGGGCAGAATGTTTAGTACAATTACTTAAAACAAGTTATACCAACATTTTCGACTTACACATACATTTAGAGTAATTCAATGAAAATCAAATAAAGTTTCTAATATATGTACGTGTACATTTTGAAAAGTTGCACACATATATAATATTCGATATATGTGTGCATGTTATAGTTGTTGTCCCTTTTGTCGAAATATTACATTATTACTTATGACCATAATATATTTTCAAATTTCATCTAAATTATATCTTCTATTGAAACTGGAAATAAAATCGTTTATCTATACTTTAAAGGATTCAGCTAAGGAATCGTCCAAATCGGAATTAATTTGTTAGACATGTCTGGCAGTAGACAATTAATGTCGTCTTATAATAATGACTAGAGGTCCCGCAGTAGTCGAAATTCGACTATAATTAATTGGAATTGTAAGTTTGTACACTATTATGATTGTATTTTATACTTCTATAATCACAAATTTCGCCAAAGCTACACTATAAAAAAAATATTAATAAAGACAAACAATATTTAATATATTCTCAATTTGACCACAGACGTCAAGAACAAAAGTTTGACAATAAATAGTATGCATGCGTGTGTGCGTCAAATACATGGTATGTAGTGTGTGTAATGTTTTCTTTATTGATTTAATGTATCTTTTATGCATTATTTAAAAAAAAGTATTAGCATTGTGCACTTATTCTCTATATTTTCTATAAGTGTAGAAAATTTCATACTCCTCCGTCCGCGCAATTTTCGTAAAAAGGGATACAATTTGCGTAATTACGGGAGATAGGACCTCTTGGGAGTCCACACGGGTAGGTACCATCACCCCGCCTATTTCCGCCGTGAAGCAGTAATGCGTTTCGGTTCGAAGGGTGGGGTAGCCGTTGTAACTATACTGAGACCTTAGGACTTATATCTCGAGGTGGGTGGCGCATTTACGTTGTAGATGTCTATGGGTTCCAGTAACCACTTAACATCAGGTGGGCTGTGAGCTCGTCCACCCATCTAAGCAATAAAAAAATAATTACAAAGTTTTTGCTTCACGTATTAATATATAGATGAGTGTGTTGAAATTTCGAAACCTATCTTTGTACTACAATCGCTGTCTTGCACCCTATCAGCAATGGAGACAACATAATTGTATTAATGTAATGTAATTAATTTTATTTATACTACAAAAGCAAGATCTTTTTTTAGTGCATATTAGCTGGCCCGGCAGACTTCGTAGTGCCTCAATCGATAACCATAAGACCTAAGATTTTGTATAAAATAAACTTAAAACAAACAAAAGGAATCTGAATCCGTCCGACAGGGGACACATCAAAGGAAAAACAATTTTTTTTATTTAATTCCGAGCAATTTCTTAATTATTTATCTTTTAAACCTACTCTGGACTTCCACAAATAATTCAAGACCAAAATTAGCCAAATCAGCTTAGCCATTCTCGGGTTTTAGCGAGACTAACGAACAGTAATTCATTTATATATATATATAGATAGATACGGGTGGACGAGCTCACAGTGTCGTCACACTTAAATGGTTACCGGAGCACATAGACATCTACAACGTAAATGCCGCCACCCACCCTGAGATATGAGTTCTAAGGTCTCAGTATAGTTACAACGGCTGCCCCACGCTTCAAACCGAAACGCATTACTGCTTCACGGCAGAAATGGGCAGGGTTGTGATACCTACTTGTGCGAACTCACTAGACGTCCTACCACGAGTAAGGGTAGAGAGTATCTGTTGCAATAGATTTTTTTTCCTTTTTTTTTATTCAAATTAGTATTTTTTTTTTATTTGTAAAAAAACGTTCTATCATAAAAACACAACTTAAAAACAAGCCGTATTCTTCTTATTGCGTTATATTATTTTAAACTAAATACATTAATGAAATGTTATCATTAGTGTTCAATAGTGGTTTATTAAAATATTATCGCTCTAACTGCGTTGTTATGGAAACAACTTACACATCCCTTTGTCACTTGGGTCGTATATGAAGAGTGTTGGTTAACAAAACTGAACCATTCAAAATGGGAGCGTCGAAAGAAATGCGTTCCTTCGTAATACTATTGAATTACGGTCTTCTGTGCTGTGGGCAGTTCATGCCAGAGGTATTAATTATTTAATTGAATTAATTTAATTTAATTGGTTATTATTTTTATTCAGATGCCGTCGGAAGCGACAAATTCGTTTATATCGTATGCGAATCAAAATGGTGGCATGATACAGTTTCTGTATTTTGTTTTCGGGGATGCGTTACTAAGTAGGAACAGGAGCACAGTCGCCCATTGTCATCGGCAAGGATATAGCCTAGCTTGATAGATAAGGCGCCTCGTGTATTCATAGGCTATGTCGCTAGAATAGTCACGCGGTCTTACATTCTAATATCTTAAACGGATTCGTGAGTGACTTGTGTTATTGTGGTGGTATGATTAGATGTTTCGGTAGGTAGCTGCCTGGTTCTGCCCCTGGCATTGCTGACGACCATAGGCGACGGTAACCACTAACCATTAGATAGGCCGTATGCCTAGAAGGTTAATAAAAAAATGTCTGTTGATGTAATCTTAATTAGGGTTATATCTGCCTAGAAATACCGTGAGGCAGTTCATTTAAATTTTAGACTAGAATAGACGGTATTTCATTTTATTTTCCCACCTAAGCTGATAGAATAGCCTTGAGAGGCTATTTCAGCGTAACCTTAACTAGTAGGTCAGCTCACGGGGCTCAAACCAGAGTGATACTGACCCTAGTAAGAGCAGTGCTTCGCGGCACCTACCACCGGATCGGAAACGCGACCCACTGAGAAGATCCGGCGAGAAACTCTGGCTGTGTCTATGGGTTAATTCACTCGTCGAGCCCTTCGTCGCAAGCGACGGGTTCGACGGGGACGGTGACCGGTGCTTATGGTACCTAAAAGCACCGTTAATGGATCGGGAGCCACTAGTGTATTTCCAGGACTATTATTACGATATCGTGACGAGAGATCCTGACGATCTGATGCGAGAGAAAGAGAATGAAGTCCGGGCTCTGAGAGCATTCCAGGCTGATTGTGCGGAGGATGTCCAGGTCAAGCCGGATTTAGTGGTCAACTTGAAGAGCGGTGACTGGCAGGTAAAAATAAATTCAAGGGAATCATTATTCCCATCGACTTTCTAATTGAGGCTGTCAGTGCGTGAGTGGCCTAATCCACAATTTTTCATATTCGCGCTTATATATCGCAATTTATTTAAAGCATAATAAATTTTGATGCAAAACGGGCCTATCCTTAGTCTCATAGAGCGTATTGTTTTGGCCTGCGAATCAGTGTAAAAGTAAATTCAAATTTCATTATCTCCATACTTAACTATGATAAGCTTAGGACAATTTTGCGCTGACTGCCTCAATTTAAATCGCTTTTAAGATTTAATGTCTAATTTTGAAATGATACTTTTTAAGCGCTTTGAGAATAAAATTTAACTCGCGACCGACTTGTTACGGCTAGAGAGAAAAGATACAATTTAGGAAGAGCGAGAGTGAGACAGAGCGTCTCGCGAACCACTCGACCGTGGAGAGAGAGAAAGGACAAAGCGAGCTAGGTCCTTTCTCTTAAGCCGAATTTACATTACGAAATTAGTGGCGTGAAATTAATTTCGTGACATTAGTTTTACCAACAGTTTCACGTGTAATTTAATACTTTCGTAATGCATGCATTAATTTCATGCATGTAAATTAGTTTCGTGCCCTGCGCGATTTTTTGGTGAAATTAGTGTCATGCAACTAATTTCATAGTGTAGCCGCGACGTGAAACTAATGTCGCGAAAGGGCCTGCGCTGTGCGGACGTGTGTATTGTTAGTTCGGACGCGCTTCAAGCGTTGAAAATGGCAAACCAATGATGGAGTACAGAAAAAAATATAGATCTTATTAATGAATATCAATGACAAGGGTCCCGAAACACCTATAGTAAAAAATCAAAATTATCTTCACTCATTCGAAAATAGTTTTTATAACTCTCAGGATCTTCATCTGCTAATTCAGAGACTAACTTCATTGCACCTAAATGCCTTCTTGTTGACCATCCTCGAATCTACCAACTTTTTTTTTCTTGATAGTCTTTTTTTAAGTTTGTAGGTATATAAGCATTTCTTTAGCTACATTGAATATAGCAAATTATAGCTTTGATGCTGAAGGCGCCATGGTTACTGCGATACTGTTGATTTCGCGACACTAATTTTTTAACGAAATTACTTTCGCATATATCGAAACTACTTTCGTGAAACTGAGCTCAACATGCATGACACTAATTTCGTAATTTAAACTCGGCATTATACACAGCTTTCCCTATTACCAGAAAAAATTAAGGATGAAAATGAAGAAAACTACAATACTACACACCGCAAAAGAAGTTTCACTTCTTTCGTGTGCACTAAGTCGTACTCGAACCAATTTTTTTTGTCATTATATTATCTCGGAGGTATCCAATACTTAACAGCTTTCGCAGATACGAATAGCTTTCGATTATGGTTGTCCTTGGGAAAAGCAGGTTCAATTATGTCCACGTCTCGCGATTATTGAAGATATTACTATGGTACATTCCCGATCATATGCGGGCATAATGGAAAGCAGTCAACGTCCCCCAAAACACGTCATTTCAGATCCTCCTGATCCACTAAGGGTGCTTTTGGGTACCCCAAGCACCGGTCATCGTTCTCCGACGAGTAAATTAACCCACAGACACAGCCCACTGAGTTTCTCGCCGGATCTTCTCAGTGGGTCGCGTTTCCGATCCGATGGTAGATTCTGCGAAGCACGGCTCTTGCTAGAGTTCGTGTTCGCAACGTCGTCAGGTTTGAGCCTCGTGAGCTCACCTACTAGTTAAGGTTACGCTTAAATAGCCTCCCAAGGCTAATTAAGCTAAGCTTAGGTAGAAAAAAAAAACGCCTGATGATGAGTGGTTACCGTCGCCCATAGACTTCAGCAATGGTAGAACCAAGCCGCTGCCTACCGTTAAAATATTTTGAGCGTTAATTTAAGAGAACAAAACTAATTTAATGCTTACTAATATAAAGTTAAAGTTTTATAAAACTTTTAGACTGAAGACGTATCTCTCAAGAAATGGGCCCTCTGTGTGCTAATGAAACTCGGACTCATGACGGCACAAGGGGTGTTCAAAATGAACGAAGCCATGTCTAAGATTCCAGATATGAATGGTAATTAATAATAATACCTAATCGTTACTAATGCCAATTTTATCTAATTACTTTTTTTTCACCAATAAGTAATTCTTTGTAATTCATTTTCCAGATAAAATCATAGCAGAGAAACTTATCGACGATTGCCTCAGTCTCCAGGCAACAACGCCACACGACGCCGCATGGAACTACATTAAATGTCATCATCAGAAAGATCCCGAGGGAAATTTTTCTTCCTTAAACATCTTCTGACGTTAATTTTTATAACAGCACCATCTGCTAGTTGTTTATAAAACTAACACGAAAAACGACTTCTAAGATATCAAATAAACAAGCGACATCTACTGGTCTAAAGTTGAACAATAGGAATTGAACTGTCAGTTCCATTAAATCAATCTAGATGGCGCTAATTTGAACATCACAGTTAAATTTAGTGACTGCAACAAATATTGTTTTTGGACAGTATTTTCGAAATTACATAAAAATTAGATTGCTTAAATACGTAACTTCGTGCCTAAAAGCAACGTCTTATGGCCAATAATGTATCTACATCAATTATTACTTTTGTGAACAGTTTTTCAATCTATCTGATTTTAAACTAAGTTCTATCAATGTACAGGTACAATGTATTTAATTTGCTTATTTTCAAACAATTAAATAAAATATAAATAAAATAACAGTGACAAAAAATGAATCGTTTTGTTATTATGAATAATATAACGATCGATTATAAGCAATTATCCCACGAATTCGTAAAAGTAGCCCGGAGTTTGGAACAAAAAGCGATTCGGCGGCAACGGGGAAACCGATGCACACACACACAGAGCACATCTCACTCTGTTATTAACAATAACGATACACAAAAACTATTTCACAGGCTAGAAACTATTTCAACAAAGCAGGTTCTGTAGGTCTTAAATGTTTTAATAGTAAGTACATTATGTTGGGTTCATGGTGTTAATAACTTTACATTTTTTTCTTACTCTTTAGTATCTTTAAAATTTTCTTCGGTCTTATTGGTTTTTATTGATACCGTCTCACTCGCACTTATAGTTACTATTGCGTTCCGTTTCATTCATAATTTCATCACCTAGTATGTAATTAACACAAGTAATAATATAATAAATAGTTTTATATAAAATGTAAATTGCGGAACTTTATATTATTTTAATAAAGAATCAGTGAGGTTATTTTATATCAAAATTGCTCTGCAAAACGTATATGGCTGGACTTCGTTTGAAGTCATTTGAGGCCAAAATAAATGACGCGCGAGCCTAATAGATAATATTATTATGTCAATACACAATTTGTAACCAGCAATTGTGCGTTGTGAGTAAGTACACCTGTATTAAATTCATTCATTTTAAAGAATTTAATTATTATTTTTATTGCCCTTGTAGGCAGACGAGCATACGGCCCACCTGATGGTGAGTGGTTACCGTCGCCCATGGACTTCAACAATGCCAGGGGCAGAAGCCACTGCCTAGCGATTTTAAGAAATGTACAAAAATAACTGTTAGTTTTTTTCGTACCTAATCGTGGGTAGCCCAACGGGACTATTCAAGCTAGGCTCGAACATGTAGGTGAGCTCACGGGTTCAACCCGAGAGAATTTGCTAACACTAGCCCTAGCAAGAGCAGTGCTTCGGAGAAACTACCACCGGATAGGAATCGCGACCCACTGAGAAGATCCGGCGATCTCACGAGAAACTCAGTGGGATGTGTCTATGGGTTAATTCACCCGTCGAGCCCTTCGTCGCAAGCGACGGGTTCGGCGAGGACGGTGACCGGTGCTTGTGGTGCCTAAAAGCACCGTTAATGGATCGGGAGGATCCGTAATGACGTGTTTAGGGCGACGTCGACTTTTTACCATTCAGTCCACAGGATCGGGTATGCTGACCATCTAATTATATAACAATGCTCAGTAAACTTATATTTCATTTAACTATATACTCATATTGGGGTTGCAAGCCCTCGGGGTAGGTATTCCCTGCCTATTTCTACTGCAAGTAATAACCCTATAAAGGAACTTACCTATTCTCAAACTAGAGCGGTACAATAAATGTAGCATAGACAATAATATATTGATTTTTTTGATCCCTAAAAATGTTGCTTTTGAAACCGGAGTTCTGTATCAGTTCGGAAGGCTAACCGCCTAATGACGCCCCACTTTTTTTAGGAAGCAAATCCAATGATTTCTTTGAAACATTTAGATGCTTGTTTAATCAATTATGTAATTATGTTTGAAGCTATCGGCTTAGTGGCGTTGCTTTCGATTTATTTAGGTATTTATAACCAACTGTATTGGACCCGTGGACTTTTTGAAGTCGTCGTGGCCTAAGTGATAAGACGTCCGGTGCATTCGTGTTGAGCGATGCATCGGTGTTCAATCCCAGACGGGTGCCAATTTTTCTAATGAAATACGTACTCAACAAATGTTCACGATTGACTTCGACGGTGAAGGAATAACATCGTGTAATAAAAATCAAACCCGCAAAATTATAATTTGTGTAATTACTGGTGGTAGGACCTCTTGTGAGTCCGCGCGGGTAGGTACCACCACCCTGCCTATTTCTGCCGTGAAGCAGTAATACGTTTCGGTTTGAAGGGTGGGGCCCCGTTGTAACTATACTGAGATCTTAGAGCTTATATCTCAAGGTGAGTGGCGCATTTACGTAGTAGATGTCTATGGGCTCCAGGATCACTTAACACCAGGTAGGCTGTGAGCTCGTCCACCCATCTAAGCATAAAAAAAAACTCCATCAATAGCGGCACAGCCAAGCTGTCTATCGCCGAATACTAAGCACTCCGAAGAATATTTAACTTCAGATTCAGATGGTACATGGCAATAATATCGATCGGATAGGACTGAAGATTCAAGTGACAGTCATGGACTTTTGCTGTGGCGGGTGATGCGGAGGACAATAGGAGATTCCCCGATGTCTATTGTATACTTAATAAGAGAATAAATAATGGTTTAAAAAAACTAACCAAATACGCTTTTATAGAAAATCCAACTAAAAAATAGAAAATAAGTTTTGAATTAAAAACAGTGTAAGAAAAAAATCAAAAATATATAATTTATTTTTCCTTTTTTAGTTGAATTACAATTTTTTCAATTATTATTTTTTCAATTTTAGTATAGTTTTGTCATCGGTTCTTAATAAGTATACCAAATTTCGAGTTAATCCAACGTTTTGAAGGGGGTCAAAATCATGTTCAAAGATTCCGTTACAAACATACATACTAACATACACACGTCTGAACCTAATAAAAGCGTATTAAAAAAAAAGAAAAAAAAAGAGTAGTAGAACATAAGCCGGTCAGTTTTGGTATCCTTTTTTGTCTGTCTATGAATTTGTTCGTGAGCATTCGTAACTAGCTGCTGATAGGACTTATAGATAGAATTTGCTTGTAGACTACATTGCCCTAATAATGTTGAGTTGATCGTGTTTGACCTAGGAACTGTGTTGTGGGTCGTGATTTATTTTAAGATTTTAAACATCAAGAACTTTTATTACTTTTTCGTCGGAATCTCTGCCAAAATAAGAGGCCACGAGCGTTATAATATCTGAACAATCACTCCGACATATATAAAATTGGTATCATCATATCGCACATACGGTACTATAACATTACCTATACAGATTATGTACTTTTCCAGCAGAAGTTGTTGGAATATCAACATCTTAATACAATTATATAGTTCTTCTCGGTTAAAGAAATAAAATGATAATATTTAAACTACAACTTTAAACGTTATTATTAAAAGCATATATTTTTTTGGAACGAAGTTCCTTATGGGACGATGCGGAGGGGTATCCTAACCGGGAAAAAACGTCCGTAACGTAAGATTTTTATTAGTAATGCACACAGTGTACGACTTAACTTTGTAATAACGTACAAAAAATAACATATTTTTTTATCATTCATTGATCACGATCTCAGAGCGTTCGTTTGCGCAATACACTAACTCTTATGCAAACAACCGTGAATGAAGTGTACCACAATAAGCTCGCACGTTACCGAATGAGCGTGGGTTGTTGCGAAACCTCCAGTTTTATTTTCTTTATACCTCGAATAGAACTTAAAATTAATATTTATATCCGGTGTCCCACGACACCACACATTTTTTTTTCTTTTTTTCCTACCTATGCTGATAGCCTTGAGAGGCCATTTCAGCTTCACACTAACGTGTAGGTGAGCTCGCGGGGCTCAAGCCGGAGTGATGCTAACACTGACCCTAGCAAGAGCAGTGCCTCGCAGAATCTACCACCGGATCGGAAACGCGACCCACTGAAAAGATCCGGCAAGAAACTCAGTGGGCTGTGTCTGTGGGTTAAAACCAAACATCTCACTAATAACTATTAAAAAATGGATTTTCTCAAACTGAATTTAGTATTAACAAGAATCGCTTAAGTGACATTTGAGTGTTCTAAATCTTAGTTTCATAGATCGATGTTTACTGCTTTGCGGCAGAAATAAGTGGGGGGGGGACCAACGCGTGAGGAACAAACACAAAAACATTATTTCCGCATATTGTGTTCGTATTTTACGACTCTGTGCTCTGCAAATGTTTAGTTTTAACAAACGCTCGCTTCCAATGCGCCATGCAAGTGCCGATAATAGTCCTACATATTTATGTCGGTATGTTACAGATCGGAGTTAGATTACGATAATTGTCATGGTCATGTTTATTGAGTGCACTGTATTTCGCCTGGATGTGGTATGCATTGTTTAGCGATATGTTATTATAAGTATATTGCATTTTACGAGACTAATTATGTATGAAGCGATTTTGTTTTTTTTATTTTTTTTATTGCTTTCGGTGGACGAGCTCACGGCCCACCTGATGTTAAGTGGTAACCGGAGCTCATAGACATCTACAACGTAAATGCCGCCACCCACCTTGAGATATAAGTTCTAAGGTCTCAGTATAGTTACAACAGCTGACCCTCCCTTCAAACCGAAATGTATTATTGCTTCACGGCAGAAATAGGCCGGATGGTGGTGCCTACCCGTCCGGACTCGCAAGAGGTCCTACCAGTCCGATCTGTAAGCTCCATAATTCTCAATTAAAAACTGCTTTCACGAGTTAATCTCGGGTTTTTTGGAACGAAGTTCCTTATGGGACGATGCGGAGGGGTACCCTAACCGAGAAAAAACGTCCGTAACGTAAGATTTTTATTAGTAAAGCACAGAGTGTACGACTTAACTTTATAATAACGTACAAAAAATAACATATTTTTTATCATTCATTGACCACGATCTCAGAGCGTTCGTTTGCGCAATACACTAACTCTTATGCAAACAACCATGAATGAAGTGTACCACAATAAGTTCGCGCGTTACCGAATGAGCGTGGGTTGTTGCGAAACCTCCAGTTTTATTTTCTTTATACCTCGAATAGAACTTACAATTAATATT